CCGCCGTGGGTGCCCGCCGGGCGGCACAGCCTGCCCGGGGCGGCTTGGCCATGGCGTCGGCGTCTGAGAGGCGGCACATGCGGCAACGCCTTCACCAACGTAGGTCGTGGCCTGTCCGCTTGGGCACATGCGGGTCGTGAAACCCACCCAGCACCAGGTGGGTCGGAGGATACTTTTGCTGCAGAACGAGTCCCAGGAAGTTCGCTTCTCATCTTTGTGGAAGGCCTTGAGCAGAGCTCCTCAGGGTTGTTACTAGTCGCAGTGCTGCAGATCCTCACTCCTGTTTCACTGTAGCGACTAACCATGCTTTTAGCTCAGGAGCGTGCTGTGCTGGCAGAGGAGTTCAGACACACAGAACCAGATTTTCAGAGTGCAAATCCACCGTTGTTCAGCTCTTACACAGCACCGGTCCCATAAAGACAACTTGCCATTCCTGCAAACGCTAAAGCTTTGTTACTCTGTGCAAGGGAAACTGACGTCTGTGACCGAAAAACCCATTACCACAAGAGTCTTAAATTAGGAAAGGAGAATTCAGTTCTCGCCTCCCTCTGCCACAGAGTTTTGGTGTGACGTTAGACAGATTGCTCAGCCTCTCTCACCATCAGAAAAGCAGATAAAAGCAGCTTTTTGGCAAACTAGATTGCAAACTCTTTGGGACAGAGACTTTGCTTTTAGCTGTGGTCAGAGCCTGTCACAGTTGGGCCCTATACTTGGCTGGGAAATGCAGACACCAAGGGAATATGAGAATAATATGAAAAACTATAATTAACTGCTTGGAAAAAAAGCAGGATTGTGATGAACTCATACTAGTTCTAAAAATTACTACATATTTGTAAAATTCAGGTTTTTACTCTGAGTACCCTCTTTTTGACAGGTTACCATTTATTTTACAGCTCAGCCTTGGACCAGATAAAATGGTAATAGACCTCACAGATCCAAATCGGCCCCGGTTCACATTACAGGAGCTGCGAGATGTATTGCAAGAGCGAAACCAGTTGAAAGCTCAGCTTCTTGTGGTGCAAGAGGAGCTACAGTGCTATAAGAGGTATATCATGAAGTCAGCAAAGAACTAATAACAATTACTTCTTGTCTGAGGAGCTTAGCAGATCAGAGTAGTGCAGGTTTGAGCACCTAGATTGGGCTAGACACTGTCCAGACATATAAGAGACATCCGTGTTCCCAAAAGCCTACAAATGAGCAAAGAATGGGTGAATGATGAAGTCTCTATGCAACGTAATTTTAAAACTAAACTCCCTGTTATTCTGCGCAGTTTGCAGCCCGTTCCCATAATTGTACCGCTGTAAGCCTACATACAGTTACTCCTACCCCACATACAAGCTGGGTTCTCGTGCACATGAATTCATCTCTGCAGTCACAGCAGTTGCACGCATACTGTTCTTGTCTAAAGCCACGCTACGTACCAAAGAGCACGGGGGTTTCCGTCTCAGCTTTAGTCAAAATTTCCTTCCTCCTCCAGCTTGCCGTCGGGGCCGCTAGCTTATCTGCTGTTCCTTTGCTCCCACAGTGGGCATGGCATTGATCTAGAAAGCAGAATATTAAGCCCTTTCATCATCATTCAAAATAAGCTGTGGGGTTTTTTTAAGACTGCCAACAGAGGGTTGTGTAAGGCCCTTGAACTGTGCAAAACAAGTGCTCTCAGAGAAGTATTTTGGTCCTTCTAGAAGGGACCAGCCTGGGAGAATCGGTTTGAGCCAAAGGCTGGGATACAGGAAGGGCCTTGCTCTTGGTGCTACAAATTCACTTACCTCCAAGGCTGCTCTCCCTCAACCTCTGCCCCTCATCGTGAGGTTGTATTATGAACTCTTTGGGGCAAGAAACTACTTCTTAATCTAGGCACAAAACATCTGAGCACATTAGATTTCAGTTGAGATATCTCAGCAGCAACCTCTCAGACAGACTAAACCTGCCCTTTGCCTTGTCTATAACAGGCAGGTTAAGCCAAGAAGTTAAATCCAAGAAGTCGGTTTACAATCTGTTTCACAGCACTTCTCACAGCGCAGCAGGGCACTGCTTCCCCAGCTCAGCTGCCTGCCGTTGCTGTGCGGCCATTGGAACGGCTTCTTGCTTTGATTTCCCAGCTGTGTTACAGCTTATTTCAGGCCAAGTTAAAAATTAAGTGAGAATGTTTTCAGTTTTCGAGTGATTTAAGCCACAGTGCTGCACACCTAGAAGAGAGTGTCGAGGCTGCTTTTCAGTTCAAGTAATTCTATGTGGTTATCTCCTCATACAGCGTTACAACTTAAGCCAAAAACCATCTGCTCTTTAAACATTCGCATAAAATCCTAATAATAATTGTACGGCCATAAACAGTAGTTGTGCAGGGGAAGAGGACAAATATGAGTATACATTCTAAAACGTCTTGTGTATATTGGAAATAAGCTCTATATAGCACAAGGTAACTGATATCCTCAGAGAGAATGGCTTCAAATGACTGATGTTTGGGGACTGCAGCGTTTTTAATCATGATTTCTGACTAGAAGTTATTGTGCAGATATTAGACATCTGCCGTGTCAGCAAACAGCTCATAGTCCTGTTTCTCTAAGAGGACAATCTGCCTCAGAATTATCCCATGCCTGATGTCATACCAGTTTCTAGATACTCTCCTGTATTTTTATTTCCAAGGTCCAGACAAGTGTTGCGTAGCTACTTTCAGCCTTCAGCTGCTGCAGTCACAGGATTTCATCCACTCAGCTCTCAAGATAAACGAGGTCAGCTCAGGACAGTAAATTGGCATGCTGCGAGAACATAGTGTAGTATGCAAACTGGTAAAATCTAACCCGATTCCAGGCAGGGGAAACATCCTTTGGTAAAACTGAAGCTTTTGCCTTAAGTAGGCGGTTACAACGTTGTAGAGCGTAGCAGCATTGGAGTAGGATGACAAAATCTACAGCTCAGGCAAAGCCTTTCTTTTCTCCTCTATAGGATGGAAAGAGGAACAGCCACCTGCCTTGCAGGGAGGCTGAGAATCTCCCAGCTGTTCCCAGCTGCGTGGTGTGAGCCTTCACGGCTGCGCTGAAGGTACCACAGATCCACCCACGCAGAAATTCACCATTTGTGTCTGCACCCTACTGTTATCTTTGGACATCTATACAAATCCAACATGTAATTACACTTCCCTTTCACTCCTATTATGATTTGCCATTCTTCCTCTGTGGAGAAGTCAGCTCATTACTTTTTTAGTGTTCTCATTAAAGCACAGCCTAAGCAAAATTCCATTGCAGTATTTAAGGAAAGTAAGAGCAATTCATGACAAGGAATAGGCTAGGCTGCCATCCCTGTCCCGTGAACACCCATTCACCCATGTCCTAGGCTGCCTGATGAAGGGTTTAACATATGCAATACCACACTGTGCACAAAAACACAAAAAATTAAACAAACCCACTTCTTTTCCCAGTGGGATTATCTCACAGAGAAGGGACCAAGCTGAAGAACTGGAAAAAGAAGCCAGTGGCAGCAGCCCTGCCACCAGCAAGGACAGCGAAGAGAAGACAATCATCAAACGGCTGTAAGTTTGTCCGCATCTTTTTTTTTTTTTTGGCAGAACATGGCATGCTTCATACTCAGTCAGTCCAGGGATGAATTCTGAACTTTAGCCTAGTTGGCTGGATATCATTTTCCTCTCCTCTCCCTGTAAAATTAACACCTGATACGAAAATCCCTTCCTGTGGAAAAAGCACTCCACAGGAAGGCAACCTCCACCCAGGCAAGCAGAGCACCACTTTTTCCTAGGAAAAATAAGCATTTCAGAGCAAAACCAGGCAATACTTGCCTCCCCTGCTAGCACATTAAGACTTTGCTGTGGGAACATGCCAGCTGTCCCTGGAGGTTTGTTTACATTGTATGAAGCAGCTGTACGCAGTACCCACAAGCTCAGGCTGCATCCCTAAAGTTCCCCAAAATAGCAGAACGCATTGACACAGTCATCTCACTGAACATTCCCTCTTTTCCAGTTGTACATTGTTTCCTTTTTGTTGTTGCTTGGGTTTTTTTAGGTTCTCTTTTAAACATGGAAGATGAGCATCCTTGAGAACTTAACCACTCCTGTTCAGAAGTGGCACTGATGAGAGCCTCTAAGGGAGAATCAGTAACTGGAAGAAAAAGCATCACTCCTACTGTAGAGAACGAGCAGTCTCAAAAATTGTGTTGTATAATATTCTTTCAGAATAGATTTTACTTTGCTTTTTTAGAAACTAAGACACTTTCTATATTTCTTGGATTCCTGCCAGACATTACCCACATGTAGAAAATAAATGTTTATACAAAGGTGGGGTTTCTTCTTATTAAAAGAGCCTGTGATGATCTGTACTACCACTTATTTATCCTATCCATCTATCAAAATGCTCAGCCCAAATGATTTTGCAAGATGAAGATATTTTTAAGAGACACATGCCATTCACAAGTGCATTCATAGAAAAGCGCTGGGAAGGAAGAACCTATTCATTGCAGTCCCCACTGCTCTTAAGTGGAAAGTAATTATCTTACACTAGCACAGAACTGCTTGAAGAAAACCCCAGCATTGCTCTTCTTCTGTGTCTGTCTTTGCATCAGATGGGCGCTACATGGGCAGCAGCAGGCAGAAGCCTGTGACACTCCGCCCCACCAAAGGAAGAGGCAGTGGGGCTGTGACAGCAGAACCCCTGCACACACAGCAGTGACCGTTTGGCATAGAGATGAAAAACGGTGAAGAGCATGGCAAGGGAAGAAAGCTGCTGCATCGTGCTCTGCTCACATGAAGGACTGATGTCTTCCCAGAGGTGCAGACATGCTCAAACTGGAACAGATGTAGCAAACATTTCATTTCTGACAGCTATAGGTCTCCTGTGGCAGACAGTTGTATTTTTCATAAGCTCTGTTCTTTCAGTCAACTGTCACAAGCTATGTATTAGTAATGAGATTTATCACTCGTGGAAGCATATAGGGCAAAGGGAGGAGTAGAAAGAGAAGCTTGAAAGATACCAATTAGGCTCCACATTTAGAAAGTAAAATTTCCAGAGCAGAAAAGTCTGAACAGACATAAAAGGAGCAGTGACAGGTACCAAACTGTGATCTTGCTCTCTTCAGAAGTGAAAGCAGGCTCTGAAGTATTTTTGATTCCCTCTCATATGCTAGCAGCATGAAAAATGCAGGACGCTTCACATATCTGCTCAGATGCACAATGCGAATGTGGCTTAGCCTAAGACAGAACTGCAGTCTGCTTTCAGAGAATTTGTTAGCAACTGTACCTTAGCAAGGCAACTCCAAAGATGTCTGACCTAAGCAAGTTGGTTTAGCCAGGGCAGAACACTGCTAAAGTCATTTTGCTGTCTTCAAAATAGTAGTAAGCTTTGGCCACATCTCCACAATGTATTTTCTAGAGCATGGTAGCAGGGAAGGAAGTTACTGCATTTCCTTAGAAGAGGCTTTGTGTTTAGAGGAGGGAAAAAAAAACAAAACAAAAAACCCCCAAAAAACACACAAACAAAAAACCCAAAACAATCATGCATCAGCAACAGCCAGGATACACCTCTGAGCCGAAAAGAGATGTTTCGATGTGCTCTGAACTACATCCTACTCTGTGGGTTATCCAGCGATGTATTTTCCAAACGCTTTTAAAAAAGGAGGGGAGGGGGAATTATGTCCCAAATTACACCCCAAAACAAACTAATCACTCTACTAAGTCTTAATGAAACAACTTCAGGTAATAAACTGCACAGATTACACAGAGCTGTACAGAAGTAACCACCTGCCACAGAGGCACAGAAGACTCTAATGAAGCCCTAGGCCACCCTTTGCAGTTAGTGGAAGGAGACAATAATGAAAGCTGTGATTACTCTTTTCAGTTTACTTACTATTTAAGATGTTCTTTATTAAAAAAAAAAAAAGAATAAGTGGGAGTTCACCAGTTAAAGTAGACAGGAGAGCACCCTCAAACTTTTTGGGCTAGTCTTTTTCTGGAACCATCACAGTTGCATCCACTCCAGTGCTAAGTGAGTTGCATAGGTTCTCTCTCAAAAGGGGAGCAAATTCCTTAGCTATGGCTACAACAGAAGAGGCTACAGTCCTGTTAGAGCAACCCGACTGCCTCTGGCAAAGTCACTCAAGACTGACAAAAGCAGTTTAGCTCCCAACCCAAGAGCATTTTTCCGCTAAGTGCTTTACACCTTATTAGAAGATGAAACCTTCCTATAAGGCAGAGAAAAATCCAAATGGCATGTTTCTGAGAGAAGTAGATACATATTTATCTCTCTCAGTTCCTAGAAAAGTAAAGGATACATATGCAGTGCAACATCAGCTTTATTACCCTCTTCTGATGCAGTGCTACTTGATTACCAGTTAAGGGTTTCAGAGAAGACAATTTTCTTTTTATGTAAGATAGAAAGAGAGCTTTCCCCTTTCTTGTTCACAGAAGTGATGTTGAAGAACAGAGGTTTTAAGCTATTTGACCTGATAGAGAACAAGCAAATGTTTAAATTAAAAAAAAAGCAGCATTTTATTCCAATTTTGACTTAAGGGAAGTGCTCTAGTAAAACAAGATACTGTACACGCTGCTGTAGTCTCTGTTACTGAGAACACAGAAAAATCGGTGCCAACTCAAATAAGTCAGCCAACAAAGCCTACCTGTAACTTGGTACATGTAAGGTAACAGGTCTTCAGTTAATTCTTCAGAAACAGTGAAAATGCACCAGCTGCCTCTGATGATCTTGCCTTGTGTTAAGTGGTAAATAATATAAAGCATTTAATGGCTAATGATTTTCACAGCTTTCTTTCAAAATGCTTATGATCCACAATGGAGACAGGTACTATAGCAGCCACTTCATCAATAATAAATATATTCTTTATTTTACAGAGACATTGTCTTCAAGTTTTTTAATTTAAAAAATACATCACTAAACCACCTCTCTTGCTGCTGGAGCATACAACCAGGATGTTGTTGCTATTTGACCTATCACATAGGCAAGCATGTAAGATTGTCCTAGAGGGCATTAGCTGGAACAGCAGCAGCCTTCAAGACAGGAGGAACAGAAGACATTAACAGAGCCACAGATCCCTCGCTGACATCTTCCAGCAGCAAGCGTGGCTGATGGCTCACAGCCATTTTCATCTACACACGTGCCAAGCCTGCCTTGGCAAAAATTCCAACTGGTAAGAATTCATCTTTAACATAAAGGACCTGCATTGTATTGCCCGCCTATATCACAGATTTGGTTCTCCAACAGTAATGTTACAAACATTCGCAAGATGCTAAGCACTCAACTCCCATTTAAGACAGTGGGACCAGACCATGCTGGACAGACCTACAGGACCAGGCAATAAGGAATCTACTTTCTTCATTGCATGAACTCCATCATTAGTTTGAAGCTGCATATGAAGATGACTCCTATTTTTGGAACCGCTATGCTCTACTTCAAGCATTCACAGTAAATAAATAGCTTCTGATGTAGCTAATTAGCATAGGAAGGTAATAAAAAAATTTGAGAGCTTTTTCTTTTACTTCCTTAAAATCTTCTGGGAGACCCCTCCAAGAATCAGCCATCAACTATAAAAAGGTACCTTCTTAAATTTTACAAAATAAGTAATGTCAAACATTGATTCTCACTCTGAAGTTCTATCTTCACATTTCTAATCACTATCAACCCAGTCTATCAAAATCCATCCCGATTTGGCTTGGAGTCATTTCTCTGAAGAAAGCAGCCAATTTGACCATCCATTTCCCTCAGCACCAGTGCATTTAAAGTTCCTTGCCAACATGAGATATGACACTGGAAAAACTGGATCCCTACCACAAATTATTTGAGAATGATAGTAGCATCCATCTCAGAGAAGCCCGTCAGCACTGAGTTGTAAAAAGCAGTCTGAAAAGCAGTCAAGCCATTGGATGTACGAGTCAGAGTACAGAAGTACACCTCCTGTCATAAAGCTAATACCAGGTTCATCACCCCACAAAGTGGAGCATGAGATTTCATTGCAAAAGCAGAAGCATAACCCAAGCGATTAAGTTTCTGTGCAACTCTTTGACTGCATGCTCAAGTGGCACTGGTCACGATGCAGAAGTATTCAAATTTAGGGAGGTTTTCCTTTTACGATATAAAAGCTTTTTGCAATCTATGATCAATTATTGAAGCCTGCCTGGAAACTGTAATAGGTATTTAAATACTGCAAAGCAAAAAGGTAGTTTTTAAGGAGCTCAGAACACCATAAGCAGTCCACTAAGAAAGTTGAGGGAAGTGAGGACAGGAAAATAAAAATCCACTGACTCCTTGTAGAACAGTCAGTCCAAAAAAAAAAAACCCAACCCAAACAAAGAAGATGAATTAGTGTTTCAGCCATGGATGAGCTTCAATGGAAGCTTTGCTTCTGTCTCCATAGTCGTACAACAGTTCTTCACCTGCTTTAATGTCTCTGGAAGCTATCAGTATGAGATGAGGCACACCATCAATGTCATGAAGCTTTGTTTGACAATTGCCACATTTGCTGTGATTAATCAGTCTTCCCAGACGATTAGTTTCTTTTGTAGCATCAACACTGAAAGAAGAACAACAGAATGCAGGATTGCTGCATATCACACAGTCACATTTGTGGACCAAAACCACAGTGCAGATCAGATAAAGAATGAGGAATCCACAAGGCTTGGAAAATAAAGGAAAAACAGAACATTACAGAATATTCATATGATTAAAGAGACAGCCCATAATATGGCAACGTAGGTAAACTAAAACAATTCTGGGATTTTGATTGATTCAATTGATTCAATTTCTAAGTTAGCACAAAACCCAGAAAATGGAAAAATTTGGACTATGTTTTTGATCTGCCTGTTTCCAAGCAGCTCTCAACTGTTCATGAGGAATAGCAGAATCCAGGTGTAGACCACCACCAGAAAGGCTTGATACCTTAAATACCTTCCCCTCAAGAAAGCTGTGTCTAAGCTAAGTAGTATCCACTGAGTAAGCCAGCAAGAGTCTCTACTCACAGAGAAGGCTGAGAATGCCTAAATACTACATGCCCAACTTCCAGAGACCTAGATACTAAAGCTTTAGTGC